ATGGGCAGCTTCTGTCTTTTTAAGGCTCAAGAACTGCATGTCCTCTCAAGGCAGCCCCGAAATGCGAAGCCCCTTCTTCCTGCCCTTCCATGACCTCCTGAGTAAGAACAGGAGGGTCAAACTGACCAATTGTTATCTGGCAATGAGCACAGCTGTCCTCTCATAACTCACTGGTTTTTATGGAAAATCCTTGGTGATTAATTTTAAAACTAGAATAAAAAAATCTTTTAAAGTCCTTTTGAATCCAGGAGAATCTTTTCCCCCAAACCCTAATAACCCACTACATCCACTTCTTTCCAGAGCCCCAGTAGGGGCCAGAATGAAGCTAGCTGGCCAGCTAGCCTAAAAGCCCCACCTGGAGGGGTAGTAAATAATAGCAAACATTGCCTTTGGCTTGGGACACTTCTAGAAACTCAGGTGTACTAAGGTTCTGTTTTCATCCTGGTTGGAAGTCTGAGACATGGACACCCCCCCCCGAAAAAAAGAAACAAAAGCAAAGTTTACCCCAAAAGAACACAGCAATGACAAGAGCACAGAAGCGGGCCCTGGAGACTAGAGGGTTCCAGTTCCAGGACCGCCACTGACTAGTGGCTTTGAACAAGTCATTTTCCCTCCTTTGTGAGATGAGGAGGGGGTGCCTGGAGCATTCCTAGGGTGCTTTCTAACACTTCAGGTTCTAAGCTGCCTTCCAACTCTGACATACTCTGCTGTTGTTGCTGGCAGGTGACCCCTGTGCCTAGAATCCTCTCCCTCCTCGCCTCTTGCCTCGGTTTCCCTCACCTTCGAGGCCAGTGCCTCCCCTCTGTGGAGCATGTCCAATTGATCCCGTCTATACCTCACTGTTTTCATGGGTTGTGAGCTCCTTGAAGGCAAGCGATGGTTCTGCCTTTGTCACCAGCGCTCAGGACTAGGCTGTTTGTTGGCTTGACTTCTAGGGTTCCTTCCAGCTCTGACATTCTTCCGTCCTGAGACGCTTCCTTGCTGACATTTCCCCAGATTTAGCATTCTGTTAATCATACTAGCCCGCACTTGAAGTGTTATGAAATGCATTAGAAACATTATCTCATTTGATATTGTGACCCTTTCAACCACCCTGGGAGGGAGGTGTTGTTATTACCCCCATTTTCCAGAAGAAGAAAGTGAGGCTGAAAGAGAAGTGACTTGCCCAGGGTCAGACAAACTAGGGAAGTACCTGAGGTAGGATTTGAACTTGGGGCTTCCTGACTCCAGGTGCAGCACTCCATTCATGCACTACCTGGCTGCCTGGCGTTCTGTTCTATAACATTTTTTTCATCCTTTCTGTGATTTCACTGGCTCTGTAACAGACTAACAGAGTGACATTTTGCCTGCTCTTCACAATAGCCACCACTGGCCGTGTTGCAGCCCCCCGGTAAGCTCTGATTCCCATCCTGAGTCCCCAGTTTGGAGACTCTCTCCACCGGCCCCTTCTGGCACACACCGGCAGGGCTGCACGAGGTTGCTGCCAGGCGGTTTTCTCCTTCCAACAACTTTGAAACGGTGACCCCTGCTGGCCGACAGGGAGCATGGCATGCCCAACAGTCACCCTGAGCCAGGGCTCCCGAGGCCTGCAGGGCCCCCCAGCCTGGCCCTGGCAACCCAAACCAGGTGCCCTGTTCCATTGCAGAGCAAGGACCCTTGAAGCCGCACTGGGGTTACCGCCATGTAATTGGGATGTTAGCAAAATTAAAAGCCGCCCTTTCCATTTGCTCATCCGTCCAGAAAATTATTTTAAATCCCACGCTCTCCTATTTTTAAAATGTCATAATCGCACACAAATGTTACAAGAGAAAAACAACGCGAGGGGCCTATTAAAAGTCAGTCTTCCATAGAAGCCTTACATTTTCCAGAGGGAGGATCCCAAAAAAGCAGGATGGCGACAAGGCAGCGAAAGACGTCCGGATCCCAGCAGCACAGCTCGCCACAGTCAGGGAGGCAAGCATGGATTTCCCCACTGAGGTTGCGCTCACTGGGCTGCCAGCTAGGAAGCCTTGGCGGGCATCGGCTCCAACACCCACCTTCGTTTTGGGGGAGAAAGCAGGTTTGGAGGTGATCCGCCCAAGGTCACACCAGTCTCTTGGAGAAGAAAGCAAATCCAGGTCTTCTGACTCCAGCCAGAGCAGGGGCTCTGCACAGGGTTCCTGTCCTACTGGGTTTCATCTGTGGAGTAACAGGTTACTAATAAAGCAGTAAGGAGCATTTCTGTACGATACTTCTAAGTCCAGCACATTGCTTCACCTAGGCTATCTTGTTTAGTTCTCACAACCGTGGGAAGTAGGTGCTATTGTTACCCCCATTTCACATTTGGGGAAATTGAGTCAGGCAGACATTAAGTGTCTTACCCAAGATCAAAGCTAGTTGTGAGGCAAGACTTGAACTTGGGTCCTCCTGATTCCCAGGTCATGTAAACGGGGGTACTACAGCTAGTCCGCAGCAGAGCTGGCACCTCCCCAGGGATGCCACCCTCAGGATTCATATTCAGGTGTGGAGGCTGGAGCAGATGGCGTCTCTAGCCCTTGGTCTCGCCATTTGGACCCAATGGCTTCGAGCTCTCGTCCAACTCTATTTAGATCTGCGATCCGCGGAAATCCTCCTGCAGGTAGCAATGTCCAGTACTACCGTGGCCCGTTCACCAATCAAGGGTCACAAAATATCGACTCATCCAGGGTGTCCCTGATTAACCCAAGTACTGCTCCCCATCTCCACTTCAGATACCCACAGTCCACACTGAACAGGGCCTGGTCCTACCAGGGCAGTGGAGGTTATCGGTTCTGGCCCGGTGGAAAGGGGGTCTTTACTGAATTGTGACATCAGTCTTATTCAATAGCATCTTTCAGAAACATCACCCCCAGGATGTTGCTGCCTGCACTTATTAAAAGCCTACTCCGGGCTGGTCCTCACTCTCAAGGGGCTTGCATGCTCCTGAATGTACAGGGGTGTCCCTGCATGTAGACACAGTCCAAGCATTTGGTTAATATTATTTTCCCAACATTCTTCCAGCTGAAGTTCAGAGGAGCCCCCTGCCCCATGTGTTGGGGCCCCAGTGATTCTCAAAGGCACAAAAGACTGCAATCTGCACTAGTGGAAGGTTTACTGCCATAGATGAAATCACAATGGATCCCTGATATAGTTGAAGTTCATGCCACACAAACCCAGGTAAAGGTGGGGCTGTAGGTGGATGGCTGGCCTAAAGACCTGGGGTCTATATGCCTCTGACATAAACCAAGAGTCTAAGCTCCCTCAGGGCAGGGCCCTTTCTTTGTGCCTGGATCCTCAGTGCCCAGCGCACAGTAGGTGCTTGATCAATGCCTGTCAAGTGACTTGGTAGATGTTTAATGAGAAATGCTTGTTTACTGACACCAGCTATTCGACCATGGGTGAGCCACGACCTCTCCAGAGCCCCAGGCCACTTCTGCAGGTTCTAAGTAAGCTATAGATGAGTTCATTGCTAGGCTGCAAACATGGATGGCGTTCCATACTCAGAGAAAGTCAGTCAACACTTACTAAGCATCTACTAAGTGTTAGGCACTAGGGGTGGAGGTTAGGATACAAAGAAATGCAGCTTACAGCCCAGTGGAGTTCCTTATGCTTATGAGATCACAGGTCTGCAGCGCCCCCTCCCCCATCATGTGCATATAACACACTTAAACACACACACACAGAGTTGAAAAACACTCTGTGTGAAGAACATATAAAAGATCTCTCCCAAACAATTCACACATGCTAACAATGGTAGTGAGGCAGGAAAAATTCATGGACTCACAGAATTTTCAGGAAGGGCCACTATGTCACAGGAGCGTCCCACGTCCAGCCAATCTCTCTCCCCTCTCATTGGGAGCCCCTGGGCAACCTTAGAGCTGGATGAAGCCTTGAAGCCAAGAGCAAACCCAGATTTTAGACTGTAAACACCCCAGAGAAGCAGAGTGATCTTCCCGGAGTCACACAACTCGCTGGAAGCAGAGCCAGGTGCCAAGGTACACCAACTTCCCAAGCCTCTCCCTGCTCTGAGCTAACTGACCAAGTGACCATGGCTTGGGGACCAGGGACTGGAGGGTCATTCCAAAGGGAAGGGAGCTCATCAATAGCGTCTGAGCAAAGGCAACAGGAACTTAGCAAGTCGTGTATCCTGGGAGAGGATGATCTATTTACAAATACTATTTGGCAAGAAAATGGACCTGGGGATGAGGGGGTGGGGAAGAAAGGAGGCAGCTTTCAGCACCTCCAACTTAGTTCAGCCCAGAAGAAAGAAGAATGTTCAAGTAGATGGAGGGAGACTGGGAGAATGCAGGCTGATTAACATGACAATCGGATTATTAGCCAGCCAAACTGGTCCGGTTAAGGATGAAAGCCAAAGGGTAAGATGCCAAGAACTTGGGCCCTTTCAAAGTGTGTCTGCCACCGACCAGAAAGAACTAGGAGTCGCAGGAAAACCTTCATGGGCCGAATGGGAGCAGAGAAGCTGCCCAGGCAGACAGGCCAGGTCAAAGCTCCCACCGGCTCGGGGCTTTCATCGTGGCAAAGCCCTCCTCTTGACCTCCAGGGGAGGTCTCCCCATTCCATACAAGAGAAAGCTGCAGAGGGTCGTGGGCCTGCCCAACATCACCCCGCCAGTGCAAGTCGGAGCCAGGAAACACAACCCGTTGGTGGCAGACCCGGGATCCTCGTGACTTCCGAGCTAATGCAATTCCCACTATAACTAGGATTCTTAACCTGGGATCCGTGGATGGACTCAGCACAGCCGATTTCCCTTGTTATCCTGTGGATTTTACCTCAAGCACTTCAGAACTGGGTTCTGAGTAGGTCCAAATGCTCTGCCCCACTGAATGCCAAGGGGGTCTGTGACACAAGACGCTAAAGCACTCCCGTGCCAATGTGGACCCCTGACCATTATGCTGCCTCTCCACTTAACGAAGGAATAGACAGTAAAGATACACCCTTTGAGTTCCACACACCTCAATTAACAAACCACCTAAAACTTCTGATTTGTTTTCCAACCTTGAGCCATTTGGCATACAAAAGTTTATTCAAAAAAATTTCAAGAGCGATAAATATAGGAAGAAACACAAAAATAACAAGAAACAACCACTGTAGAGTCACACATCCATGCCCAGGCCTGGCCGACTGACCAGGTAACAGTCGAGGCTCCACACTCCTGTCAAGAGTTCTGAGGAATCCGTGCCTATTGTAAAGTCTGGTCAAGGTTCCAAGTGCTGACTTCAGCAGGTTCCAGACAGGTGAGCAGAGAGCGTGAAGCCTTGGAAAAGATCACTGGATGATGCAGCAGGGGGCTGACCTCACAGGAGATGTTAGGGGGCATTGAATAGCCTGGGGTTTGAGGGGAACAGAACATACCCTATTAAAAACAACCAGCCTCCCGCCCCTCCTGTCCTTAGCCAGGACATCCTTTCCACTTGCCCCAGGGGCCAAGAGCTGGTGTGGAGACTCCTCGGAATCACAGCTGGAAAAGAGCCCACATCCCAACTCTTCAGCACGTGGCCTGTTGGTGACAGGTGGAGGCTTCCCGATCTCCAAAATATTGGTGCCTCAGTTGTCAGTATGCCAACGGGAGTGAGCCGAGAACCCAGGTGTGGTTAGACTTCAAATAAATGCCTTCACCCAAAGCATCTGGTAAACGGCAACATTCTGCACTTGGTCGGAGCTTAAATCATCACATACTCAGCCTCAGGACAGCAAGAGGTTAAATGGCGTTATCCCTATTTAATAGGAGGCTGGGAGGCGCAAGGTCGCTCACTGGGAATGGAATCCAACTCCATGGACCATGAGACACAACCCAACCACTGTTTTTTGGCTAGCTAGTGCATTTGTTTGGGTCTAAGCAAAGAGGCGATGATATTCAAAACTAAACTTGCACATTAAAAAAAAAGATCCAGCCCACATTAGGAATTCAACAAAGAAAGCAGGGAGAGAGTCTGACAGGCCGAAACTTGGGGCGTTGCTCACAAAGAGGAGCGGCGTAGAAGGCCAGCAGGATTCACTTAACCTCGTGGTTTGGTATGTGCTGGCTGAAGAGCCCTGGGGCCTGGAGCTGACGCGGCCCCAGTTACGGTGATCGACAGCAGGGAACTGGACGTGTTGTGCAGGACACTGAGCTCCAAGCTGGGGGCAGAGGCTGGGCCAGAGACAAGAGATCACTGAGATTTCCAGCCTTTATCCCCGAAGCTGCCCTGTCAGCTGGAAAGGGCCCCCACCCCGTAGACAAGAAGCATATCGTTTCTTGGTCAATGTATTTCAATTGAACAGTCAGCACAGCAAAGGCTGCTCGCTCTCTAAGGTTAAAGAGCTTTGCAAAGTAACCTGACACAGTGAAAATCGGCTCCCAAAAACATCCCAAGAAAAAAGCTGCCCATGTTTTTCCTTTGCAAAACTTTTCTCTTGTTTTAAAAACTTTACAACTGTATCATGTTCCATTTGGGAAAAAGAAAGCAAATTCAGAGTCAAGAAAACGAATACTTATGCACAGCTCATTTACCAGCAAATCACTAAGTTCAATTCACAGATTTTGGTCAATTGTTTTTCATAAAATGAATGTTTTATGTTTAATCTCGTAACTTAAGAAGTGAAATTTTCCACATTCCTGAATGTAAAGTTGGCATCTGTAAGGGGAGAAGGTTCTTTTGGACAATCATGCAAATTTAATCTTTCCCCATAAACAAAAACACAACCTGACAGATCAACAAAACGTGTCTCTCCATATTCTAGTCTGCCACCTCCTCCCTGCAGCCGTGACCTCTGGAGACCGACAGCCCACTTCCTCAGACCTTCCACTTTCCGAGTGTCCGCTATGCTGTCAGGGATGCTCATGGAGAGGAATAAAGACTTTATTATCCCCTCCCCAGCCGAAAAGAAAAAAAAAGTGATCAGTACAAAAAAGCCGTTTTCTGTTATTCGGCTGAGAATTTCTTTCCATGATTTCTCCCATTAAAGTATAGTTTTCAAAGCAACCACCACGACAAAGGAAGCATCTAATTAGTCCATTTTCTTCTGATCCAAGAATGCGGAGCATTCACTGTCCCATCTGCAGCAGTATCAGCAGGGTAATGAACACAGTTTCTATTACTTAACTACTCTTTGAACTCCAAGAACTGCTGAAGTCTCTTCTGATGCTCAGCAGATGCCTGCACCGCGCTGAATGAAACACAAATTCAAAGCATAAGCTTATTTTACGTGAAGCATATTAAGTGAACCACAGAACACGAAGTCGGTATTGCTCAGAACAATTAAACAGGTCCGTCCAAGGCCCTGCTTTAAATCTAGAGGCAGGCAGGGGAAGCCGGGGAGCCCCGGCCAACGGGCGTAAGGAGGAGCGCTCGCTGGACGGGGCACGCCCACCGTGGAACCTGCTTCGGACGCCGAGTTCCAGGCCTGGCAGTGAATTTTCTGGATTTTATTATTTGATTTGATCCAGACCCCTGCATTATCTCGGGGCTGTGGGTTTTCTGGATTGCCTTTCATGTAAGATCCCTTAAACCGAACTGTTTGGTTAGAACACAAGGGCCACAGGACGTGTTCTCAAAGGTAGCGGCTCAGTGGTTCGATTTCCTTTTCCCTTTGAACCCAAGGATGGGTAATTTTAGGTTTTTTCCATTCTCCTCCAAATCTATCACCATACTAATGCTAAGGCAAACCTACCTAGACACTCGCTGTGAAGTGGCCCTTTTTTTTAGCTTCTGAGGATACAAAAACCAAATTCAACAGGTTCTGAAAGCAGAGGCAGGACAGGCCAACAGAAGGGGAGAGACCTGGCTTCAGACCCAGCTCTACCACAACTAGCCATGTGACCCTGGGCAAATTCCTTCCCCGCACAGGCCTTATCTTCCTCAGCTGTGAAGCGGGCCAGGAAAAGGTCACTGCGTGCTGCAATCGGTAAGCCCAAATGACACGCCGTGGGGACGCTCTTTGTTCAAGGGCGGGGTGGTGCAGTGAAAGCCCCTCAGGGCCCCTCCAGCTCCTCTTTCTCTGAGATTCCACCTACACAAACTGTCCAGATGACTGAAGCCGAGCCTTTTAAGGAGTAAAACGCCTTCACTATGTTACTCACAACTGATAAAATGTCATCTTACGTAAGGAAGAGAACTGAGGCTTTTCTGAAGGATTCAGGGTCACAACACTGAACAAGGAAAAACAGAAGAAAGTGCCCCACAGGAGGATCAGAGCCCTGGGTTCTAATCCTGGTTCTACCACCAAAAGCTGTGTGAGCTCACGCAAGTCACTGCCCCCTGTGAGGTGTGAGCTGCACAAAGCAAGGGATGGAGGGCGAGGTGCCCAGATGACTCCCCCGTCAGCACTGGCCTTGGCTGACCTTTTGAGATGCAGTGTCTGCCTGTGCTTCTTTGGGGGTCTCCCTCCCAGCCTCCCTTTGATCTGCAGCAGGCAAGGCACGCAGGGCCCCAAGTGTGTTACAACGCCTAAACTAAGAGTGACTTGGTCCTGAGGGAAGAGTGCTGGTGTAAACACTCAGTTTATGTCCCTGCTGTGTCCCAGAGAGGTCTCGCTGTCAGAAAAGCAAGGCCTGCACTCATCGACACCAAGTTTTTCCGGGTCATTCTTTTATGCCTACTGGACAATCTCGTGACCACAGCCTTACTGCTCCTGTCTCATACTTATAGCTTCTGTCTCCTTGGAGGCAGGGGCCACACTGGGTCCAATACTTCCCTGCATCCCCTTCGCTCCTGTCGTGACAGCCTCTTGGAGCGTGGGAGCCAGAAGGGGACTGAGAACGCCTCACCCAGGCTCTCCCAACCCAAACTCTACCCTTCCGAGTAAGGAAGGCCTGCTGTCCCCACTGGCAGGGGTGGATCCAGAGGACTCAAGGAGTGGGGTCCTGTGGCTGGGGGGAGGGCAGACAAAAGGAAGAAGGAAGGGTGTAGGGGTAGAAAGGGTGAAAGCTTTACGATCTCGGTCACAACCAAGGGCCAGCCTCACTAAGTCTAGCATAAGAATCCCAGCAACCAGGAGAGAACTGTTTTTTCAGCCACATCAACTCACAAAATCATCTCTTTAGGGATGAAGGAGCAGCTTATCCTTATTAAGGAGTTACTTATCCAAGATCAAATGGGATCTTTGTCAAGCATCTAGTACACAGTAGGCATCTAATAAATGTTTATTCCCTTCCCCCACCCCTCTTCCAAGGTTACACGGGGAGTCAGCGGCAGATACAAGATTAGAACCAGTCTAATATTCTCTGCCCTACACCAAGCTGCCTCACTCAAAAATAAATTATGTTCACTGAGAAGTGACAAGACAGTTTATATATCTCAGCTTCTCAAAAAAACCCTTCTGGCATTTTGACTGGTATTATATCAAATCTATACAATAATTTGGGTATACTTTCTTTTTAACCAGGTTTATTTGATCTATTCACAGACAGTGAATGTCCTAATTATTTCTATCTTCTCTTCCTGCCAATAGTTTGATATTTAAAAATTTCACCTATGTTTAACTTACTTCCCAAATACTTAATGGTTTTTGTTAAAAAAGTTTCTCATCATGTTTCCTTGGTATAATTGGTAGCATGAAAGTCTGAATGATATTTATGGGTTTTTATATACTGTATATGGGTTTCTATATTGTATATATATACAATCTATACATACTATATATATATTGATGAACTCAATGCCTCCATTTTTTTTTTGCTGAGATTATTATATTTTCTAGACATTTATAAATAAAATCTTAACCTCTTCCTTTTCTAGTTATCTTTCTCCTGTGTTATTAGGTTGAGTAGGGTGGTAGCTAAAGTGAAGCCTCAAAAGCAGAAAACCACTCCCACCTTTGACCCATCCTGGCCATGGAACTGACCCTGGGCGAGTCACTCAATTGCTGAGAGCAAGGCTATAGAGGAGGTGCTACCCTGCACCGGCGGAGGCCCTTCCTCACTGGGAGGTTCCCTACACAAAGGGTTATCACCAACACCAGCACTTCTAATACAATCTCTGCACTGGAATGGGAAGGGTCCAGAGACTCCTTTGAGCTGAATCCTGCTTCTGCCACTTACAGCATTCATGGGAAAGGCCGTTAATGTCATTGAGCCTCAGTCTCCTCATATGTAAAATAGGGATGATAATACTTGCCCGAGCAATTCCTCAGGGTTGTGAGTAAAGTGCTCTGTCAATCTGAAAAGGAGCTCTAGAAATGGGGTGGGGCGGTATCCCCCAGAAAGGGTGAAAGTGACTCTAAAACCTGACTTTGATGGTCAGGCTTTTGCCTTTACACAGCACATAATGGCGACTTTTGGTTTCAAGTATATTACTTTTATCCTGTGGAAAAAACCCCTCTACCTCTTCTGTATGACTGTCATAAGTAAATGTTCCATTCTGCTAAAATCTTTCCTACGAATGATATTACGTGGATTTTTTTAAATAGTCCTCATGAAATGACATCTCAGACGTGTACTGTGGGCAGAGAAATGGCCTTGACAAGAACATGCCCGCGTCAGCCCTGTCTCTGAGGTGTCCACACCCAGGCTGGCTGGGACCCCTAACATCTCACAGACTTTCCTCTAAGAAGAGAACAAGCAGAGAAGAGCCCCGTCTGAAGCGGGAATCGCCGCAGGTCTGATCCAGAAAGGGTCCTGACGTGTGGCTGATTCACAAGGAGTAAGTCATTAATGCCCGCTCTACATCACCGGTCAGCAGTCAGACTTGGTGCCCGGGCATGGGCCAGGGCTGACTCAGACACCTCACTGCCCTGGGGAGGCAAGCCTGGACCGCATGCGTGTGCTTGTGCATGCTGTGGGGGGGGGGGGGGGGGGGGGGGGGG